TTAATCTTATTATTGCCGGGTGCATTTTTGCTTGTTTCATTTCGTCAATAACAAAGAAAGCCTAAACACAAACAAACATATTTTATTTATTTTTTTATTTTTTTATTTATTTTACTTTTATTTATTATATTTATTGTATAAGCATATTATATATAATTAAATAAATAAATAAATAAATAATTAAATATATAAATAAACAAACAAACAAATAAACAAATAAATAAATAAATGAATGAATAAAATAACTAAATGAATAAAAAATAAAAAAATAAAATAAATAAATAAATAAATAAATAAATAAAAATATAAAAATACATTTTCTGTTTTTTCTCTGTGGTTTGTTAAATAAGCATATTATATATAATTAAATAAATAAACAAACAAGTAAATAAATAATAAAATAAATAAAAAAAAATAAATAAACAAATAAATAAAATAAATAAATAAATAAATAAATAAATAAAATATATAAATACCTTTTCTGTTTTTTCTCTGTGGTTTAGTATATAACCGTGCAGCTTTAGGGTGTATGTGGTCTCGTCATAGTTAAGGCCGCAACGCCTATACACACAAATATAAAAAATATAAATAAAAATAAATATAAATAAAAATAAATATAAATAAATATAAATATAAATATAAATAAATATAAATAAATATAAATATAAATATAAATATGGATAAATATAAGTATAAATATAAACATAAGTGGGAACACACCAACCACAAATACACTGAGGGTTTAGGGTTTAGGGTTTAAGGATTAGGGTTTAGGGTTTAGGGTTTACCAGACTCTACTGTTTAGGTTTTAGGGTTTAGGGTTTAGGGTTTACCAGTAGCTGGTGAGTAGCTGTGAGAACATAAACCACTGTCTAGGGTCTAGGGTTTAGGGTTTAGGGTCTAGGGTTTAGGGTTTACCAGTAGTTGGTGAGTAGCTGCGAGAACATAAACCACTGTCTAGGGTCTAGGGTTTAGGGTTTATTCTTTAGGGTTTAGGGTTTAGGGTTTAGGGTTTAGGGTTTAGGGTTTACCAGTAGTTGGTGAGTAGCTGCGAGAACATAAACCACTGTCTAGGGTCTCGGGCCTAGGGTTTAGGGTCTAGGGTTTAGGGTCTAGGTTTTAGGGTTTAGGGTTTAGGGTTTAGGGTCTAGGGTTTAGGGTTTAGGGTTTAGGGTTTAGGGTTTACCAGTAGTTGGTGAGTAGCTGCGAGAACATAAACCACTGTCTAGGGTCTCGGGCCTAGGGTTTAGGGTCTAGGGTTTAGGGTCTAGGTTCTAGGGTTTAGGGTTTAGGGTTTAGGGTTTACCAGTAGTTGGTGAGTAGCTGTGAGAAGAGAAACCACTGTCTAGGGTTTAGGGTCTAGGGTCTAGGGTCTAGGGTCTAGGGTCTAGGGTTTAGGGTTTAGGGTTTAGGGTTTAGGGTTTACCAGTAGTTGGTGAGTAGCTGTGAGAAGAGAAACCACTGTCTAGGGTTTAGGGTTTAGGGTTTAGGGTCTAGGGTTTAGGGTCTAGGGTCTAGGGTCTAGGGTTTAGGGTTTAGGGTTTACCAGTAGTTGGTGAGTAGCTGTGAGAAGAGAAACCACTGTCTAGGGTTTAGGGTCTAGGGTCTAGGGTCTAGGGTCTAGGGTCTAGGGTTTAGGGTTTAGGGTTTAGGGTTTAGGGTTTACCAGTAGTTGGTGAGTAGCTGCGAGAATAGAAACCACTGCTTGTTGCTGATGGCTCTCCATATTTTAAGATGCATGCATCTTTGTGCAGCAATATGAGCTTTAATAGTTTTAATAACATTAATATTTTCTTTTTTTTCTTTTTCTTTTTCTTTTTCTTCTTCTTTTTCTCTATCTAAACCCCCACCACCACCGCCACCGCCACCGCCACCGCGAGCTGCCTGTACACCCGAGCGCCCCGGCGCCGGCGGCGGCAGCGGTATATGGGGGGGGGGCAGTGCTGCAGCAGCAAAAGCATCAATTTTTCTTTGTTTTTCTTTATTTCTATAAATAGCAGCAGGAAACAACTCTAAATACCGACGAAACACACAGGCGGAGGGGGGGCCCCCGGGGGCCCCCTCGCTCAGGGGGCCCCCCGGTACCCTGGGGGCCCCCCATTCGGGTTTGGGGGCCCCTGGGGGCCCCCAAGAACCCAGGGGCCCCCAAACCCCCAAACGAAGAGCTGGGGGCCCCCACCGCAGCATGAACAAGAAGCAGGGGGCCCCCTTACTCTGTATTCACAACAACACCAACAAAAGAAAATATAAACAGCAACAAAACTAAAAAAATAAACTCTATACAGCAATAACAATGATATGGCATCACTCTAATCAACAAATATTTTATTAAAATATATATTAGTACCCATCTCACCAAGAACCGGGGGCCCCCAAAGGGGGGCCCCTCAACGGGGGCCCCCCGGGGGCCCCCCCGGGGGCCCCCGAAGGGGGGCCCCCAGGGGCCCCAGGGCACGAGGGGGCCCCTAAGAGAGAACGGTGTTTATTTTGTGTATAATGATGCTGTTATTTCTTTGATTTGTTTTTGTTGTTTTGTTTATAATATATGCACAGATGAAGGAGGAGATATTGAGTGGTTTAGGGTTTAGTTTTATTTGTGTTTCCTTTGTTTAGGGTTTAGGGTTTAGGGTTTAGGGTTTAGGGTTTATTATATTTGTGTTGTTTTGAGGTGTATATACACCCCAAATAAAATGAATTCCGTTGCTCTCCACTTCCTGCTGCTGCATGCGGCCCCCCCGGGGGGCCCCCCGGGGCCCCCCCCAGCAGCAGTTTGTGGGGCCCCCGGGGGCCCCCCAGCTGCGGTGTACAGGCAGCTACCCTGCAGCAGCAACAGCTCCCCCTCTGCTGCAGCACCTGCAGCAGCTGCTGCAACCAAGCGCGCAGCAACAGCAGCAACAGCAGCAACAGCAGCAGCAGCAACAGCAGCAACAGCAGCAACAGCAGCAGCACCACCGCCAGAGGTACCAGCAGCAGCAACAGCACCACCACCACCACCACCACAATCACAATCATCAGCAACAGCAGAAGCAGCAGCATCACCAGCAGCAGCAGAAGCAGCATCACCAGCAGCAGCAGCAGCAGCAGCAGCAGCAGCAGCAGCAGAGCATCCCCGCAGTGTAAGTTTAGTTGAGTTTCTCTTTGACTTTTCATCGCCGCAGCCTCAGCCCCTTCCCCCAACCCAAACCCCCGCAGAGGCCCTACAATACATCTGGGGGGCCCCCCGGGGGCCCCCCACCTCGGGGGGACCCCCTACCCCTGGGGCCCCTGGGGGCCCCTGTACCCCTGGGGGCCCCTGTACCCCTGGGGGCCCCTGTACCCCTGGGGGCCCCTCTACGTCTGCGGGGGCCCCCGCTACCCCCGGGGGCCCCTCTGGTTCTGCGGGGGCCCCCCGTACCCCTGGGGGCCCCCCTGGCTCTGCTGGGGGCCCCCTTGTTGCTGGGGCCCCCGGGTGTCGGGGGCCCCCTGATGATGATGATGAGTATGAACTGCGGTTATATATAGTTGATGAGCTGCAGCAAACGGGTTTTATAGTGGGGCAGCAGCAGCAGCAGCTGCTGCTGGGGGCCCCCCTGTCGGGGTGGGGGCCCCTGCTGCCGACCGTGACGATGAGGTATTGCAAAAGAAAATATTTAATTAATTTTAGAGAGAAAGAAGCAGCGAATTATGTGCTGTACATACACCAGAATGGGTATGTTTTTTTTTTTTTTTTTTTTTTTTTTTTTTTTTTTTTTTTTTTTTTTTTTTTTTTTTTTTTTTT